CCTAATCCTAAAGGGACACCTCGCCCCTAAACCCTCGGTAATCCCCGCTCATACGATTGAGCAGGAGGGGTTTGCTCACATTAGGCCCCTCTATTGTGCTCTGAGCTCATGTCTAAAAGCTTCGCTCATCATACATCCGTCAAATTACCCACTCTCATCATATCAGATAGCACAAAGTTCCTGTGCTTTTTTTGTAGATGGTACCTCATTCTACCTGGAGATGGCCGTTCAGGCTTTAGCCCCCCATGCACCCATCACTCTTACAGCCTCTGACAGCCTCCTGCTTCTCAGTCAGCTGTTTCATAATGAGCACCCAATGAAAACAAGCTGTCCCACTGAATCCTGCGTGTTGATCTTATTCCAGTTGACAATGTGCTGCTGTCTGCAGACTGCAGAGACACATTCCTCTGTGACTTTGGTCTCTCAGAGACTTTAGATGACAGTGGCTGGAGCACCAAGAATTTCAGGGGTAAGTTGATCCTCAAAAGTCTGAAATAAACTATGTTGCAGTTTACAGATGACTAACATTTTGGTTCAAACACCAAATTAGATTAAAACACATACATATATATCACAGCAAACTGTCAGTCTTTTTAAAATCTACTTGTGAAGTGATCTACTGCCTAGGCTCCCATAAATACACAATAAGGAGTTTGCAGTGAATAAATCTGCCTTTCACCGTCATCTTTCAACCTTTAAACATTCATATCTTTAAAAGATAGCATGCAATACTCTTAGCCTACCGTGTTAGCATTCAAAGATTTGCAACAGTCTTCCCTTAGTAAAAATCTGTGACATCTAAAACTCTGAATGCAGACTTTTCACCACATAAAGGTGGAAACTTTTACTTCATGTGACTGATGTGAATGTTTAGAAGCTAAAGACACATTTAAAATACAATAAAAGTTATGAGCCAAAAGAAATCAATCAATCAATCAATAAAAAAATAAAAATAAATAAGGCAACTTACTGTTAGCAGTTCTCCAAATGGAGAAACCTTTGCTGAAGAGCGGCCTCTGCACCAGCGGGAACAACGCCAGGATGAAGAACTGTTAGCAGTAACTTGGTCTAGATTTGAATACTGGCCTGAAGCGAAGGCTCATCTGGGATTTCAGCGCTTAAATGAGGAAGACTGGCTGTAAAAGTTGTTTTTTATGGGGGATTTGTGATTTAACTCGTTTCCTTTTTTCTCTCTTTGTTT